ACATATACACACACACGCACGCACACACACACACACACACACGCACACACACACACACACACACACACACATACACACACACACGTCAGAATAGGAGAGGCAAACTGTGACGCAAAACCCCTTTGAAGTTTGCCGCCGCGTGGAATTAAACTTTGCAGGCAGAATTTTAAAAATAGTTATCGCCGCTTAAAACTGATTTCATTTTCGGAATCAGCGTATCAAAATCAAAATAATCAAAGTGGCTGGCGGAGAACCTGATTTGATGTCATATTTAAATTTAAATTTTTTTATTGTCAATTTTGAATCTGAAGTCATGTGTATCAAGGTCAGTACCCGCCCGGTACTGGAGGCCTGGTGCTGGTACTGACATCTCCGTCGGTAGCTAGAACCGGAAGTTCCGGTACTGAGTACCGGTACCTGCATGTCCATCCCTATCGCACGTTACAGGCCCTAACCTTGTCAGCCAATCTGCCTCATTTGACTGAGTTGAGAGAGCCAAATTTTACTTCATGGATTGGATAAATGCTACAAGTTTGGCACAATATCCAGCTGAATTCAGCTAAATGCGACAAAATCAATTACGTTTATTTTTAGTCTAGATTTGTGGAGGACTGCACGACTTTGAATTTGACACATGAAAACGAGATGGTGAAGTGTGAATGAGATTATGGAGATTGGAAGGAAAATATAGGTGCAGTCTCTATCCAATAAAATAAACAAATAGGCTAAAAATCAAAACGGGCGGGCGCTCGATTACTTTATGAATATTAGGCGAGTAGTAGGCCTGCTGCTGATCTTTGACAACCCACGTCGACCAAAGTAATTAAATAAATCCTGTTCACAGCCCCCCCCCCCCCCCCCCCCCCCGGCCGGGCTCAACTTAGGCGAGGTGGTCAAAAATAGTTAGCGCCTTGGCTTAGGCCTATATATGGACGTATTTTGCTTCTAAAGACTGTTCTGCTGTTTTTTGTGTCTTGATCATTGGTTAAACTGTTAAGAAAACATTTCAAAGCTTTTTAAAAATTATTTTCCTTCAAATTCTGAGCATTATAAATTTAGGTAAATCTAGACGTACTCTGGACCATTCAAATGTAACACATGTAACTAATAGCAGTGATGATACATGAGTGGACCATCTTGTTATGTAATGTACCATAATATTATAATTGCTAATAGGCATATCGAGTAATCGATCGAGTAAACTATAAAAATATCCAAGTAAATTATTTTTAAGGGAATCACTCATAACAGGTAGTGGGTACTGATATCGAGTAGTTCTGCGCCCGCCGAGTCCGAGAGGCTCGATCCATTGTGATTATTTTGCAGTTGCTGCTTGAGCTGGGCTAGAATCTTCTAGTTTCACTTGCAGTTAGACCAGGGCAAGATCGACTCTGGGATCGATTCTTTCGACTCCAAATGAGGACTCAAAGAATCGATCTTGTTCCATGTTCCCAGACTCTAAGCTTCGAGTCCGCCCAGGGTCGACGCCTCCCGTCTCCTTTTTTTTTAGCCTGGTTCCTAGCCTAGACTCCGAGAATCGAGGCAAGAATCTAAATCTCTACCTCACTATTACAGTCCTGTCATGGGATAGGCCTAGGCGATTATATGACCGTCTAGGCCTAGGGCTGTCCCACCCCACAGTCGAGTTTTTTG